AGTATATAATACGTTGTGCCCCCAAAAGGCTGTAGTGTGTTGGTTGGGAGAGCTTTTATAGAGTTTTTTAAGATGTAGAGATTTTGAGGCTCAGTGCCTGTGGCTCAAGTAGCTAAGACGCCAGCCATATACACCTAAGGTGGTGGGTTCGAATCCAGCCCAGGCCGCCAAACAACAATGACAGCTGCAACCAAAAAATGGCCGGGCGTTGTGGTGGGCGCCTGTGGTCCCAGCTACTTGGGAGGCTGAGGCAGGAGACTCGCTTGAGCCCAGGAGTTGGAGGTTGCTGTGAGTGTGATGCCATGGCACTCTACCCAGGAGGACAGCTTGAGGCTCTGTCTCAAAAAAAAAAAAAAGAAATTTGACGCCTTAACAAAAGTTTGTTTCTCATTATTTTCTATAAAAGTATCTGCAAATAGAGGAGGGAGTTCTCTAGAATACTTTGCTGTTCTACTTCTTTGAGGACCTGCAGAAGTGTGGAGCAAAACTGTACTGAGTTTTAAACAAAGTCTTGCAAACACAACTTTTGAACAATTACCTGGGCAGGACTGTGTCTAATTCAGCTTCGGATTTCCTGTTTTACGTAGGAGGTAACTCAGCATAGTGCCTGGTGCACGACAGGTACCCCCATAACTGTGGCTGTTGGTTCAGTGATGGGAAATAGAATAAGGAAACCCGGAAAGAAGATTTGCAGATGGGGAGATAAGTTCAGGTGACATCAAGGAAGAGTGTGAGGGTGACAGTACCATGAACCAGTGAGTGAGCCAAGAGGTCACATTTCGTCGGGTGGCTTATTTCACACAGACAGACAGTCTCGGTAACTCAGAGAGAAGCAGTGTTTAATCTGAAAATGCCGTTTGGTTCTGATGCTTGGGAGAGACTTTAACCTTCTTTGACCTTCTAATTGGACTCTTCCAGGTTTTCTGCCCACGTGTGAAAACTTCACGCCTCCTTCCCCTCTGTGGACTCCTTTCTTTTAGCTTCTGAGAGCAGTTTTTGTTTCCCTAATAAGCTGAACAGCCATACGTGTCATTTTGCTGGGACTGTCTTAGCTGTGCCTACTGTTGCAGTATAATTTCTGATTCTGACCCCTCTCTGTGTTAAAAGTGTCCACATTAAATGACCCTCCTCCTAATAAAGGAATTCTGTAGCTTTCTGTATATTGTCAGAAATCTTTACAACGTGCAGACTGCTTTGATGAGTTAACGTGGATGTAGTACCAGTAAGATTACATATTAGACCAGTATCTTAGTATAATGGTCAGTACTAAGTAGAAAAGAGAGAAAATAAGTGGTAGCGGAAATGGATCAGATGTATGATAGAGAAAAACCAATTGATTTCAACAAAATGAACCTTAGTTACAACTAGGCGCTGGTGTAGCCATATGAGAAAGGGGGTTTAAAGGTTATCAGGATGATAGGTAGTACCTGGGGAACTAGCATCCTTTGATAAAATCTTATGGTCATTTTTATTTAGAATTTCAGTGTTTTCACAGCAATTGTAATTTGGGTCAGTCGCATTTCTACATAGAAAGGAAAGGAAATAATCTCTTGGAACAGAGATTTTGTCAACAGCTTAAGGAAATGATTGGAGGGTAGATTGTTAAATTCAGACTTTTCCCTTAAATCTTCTGATTAAGTGTCTTTTGATGAAAATGACAATAATGTTTTAATCAAATAGATACTCATATAAGGACTCCAAGGACATTAATATAATGTATGTTTTTCTCTTTATACTTAGGGTTAAACTGGCTTTATGTTTCCTATACATGGATTTGAGGAAACAAATTAGTGTTTTGTTATACAAATATACGTAAAAGCTTTTAGTGTTCAGGTAATGCTTGACACAATTGCAGTATGACAGTTGGGTGTAAGATTAAAAACATACTTATGATCAGTCTTTTCTTTGCTTTTTTTTTTTTTTTTTTTTAGACAGAGTCTCAAGCTGTCCCCCTGAGTAGAGTGCCGTGGCATTACAGCTCACAGCAACCTCCAACTCCTGGGCTCAAGCGAGTCTCCTGCCTCATCCTCCCAAGTAGCTGGGACCACAGGTGCCCGCCACAACGCCCGGCTATTTTTCGGTTGCAGCCGTCATTGTTGTTTGGCGGGTCCGGGCTGGGGATTTGAACCCGCCACCTTAGGTGTACGTGGCTGGCGCCTTAGCCGGTTGAGCTATAGGAGCCGAGCCAATCAGTCTTTTCCATATTCATATTTTATGAGGTAGTGATGCATTTACCTTCGGGCCCCACAGTTCCTTGCTCCCAGCAATATTAGCTCTTTAAGGAGATTATATTTGTAGAGGAGAGGGAATGTTTCTGTGTATTCCTAAAATTCTGTTCATCTTAGAGTTAAATTCTGGCTCTGCCACTGGCTATGTGTTAGTAAGTTCTCCCCGAGTCTCAGACCTTTAGCTAATAAAATGGAAATAGTCATATCTACTGCTTAGTTTATTAGTAGGATTTTTATTAATTCCAAAGTCTCAAATGGATAAATACCGAATATATCTGACCAAGGTTGATGTTCTTCCAGGCTCAGGAATCAGTAGCAAGTACTGAGGATGGAGAGACACGTGATTGTTGGAAGGGTGAGACTTAAAACGTAGGTTGAGCGTTCCTAATCCAGAAAGCTCAGATGCTTCAAATTCTGAACCGCTTTGAGAGCCAAGGTGGTGCTCAGCAGAAAGGCTTAGTGGAGCATTTCAGTTTGAGGTTTTGGGGCCGGGGGTGCTGAACCAGTAAGTATATAATGCAGATATTCCAAAAATTTGAAAAAAATCTGGAATCTAAAACACTTCTGGTCCCAAGCATTTTGGATAAGGGATACTCAGCCTTCTGTTAACTGCCAGTTGCTGGCCCATCAGAAAGGATGCCGACTGCAGACACTCTGGGTGTTCATCACCCACTGATTATCGGCCTGAATTGTCTAGAAATCTCTGTTTAACCTGTGATGATGCTTTGCAAGGAAACCCACTGGGACTCCGGGTTAAATTAATGCCTCCTCTGAAATGATCAGGAAAGGGAACCATCTGCACATGGTGAGGAAAGCCTGTACTTCGTGCCTTGATTTCAAAGTTTCCCCTTTCCCTTGGGAATCTTGCTGATCGTTGTGGCCAGTACTGTGTTGGCTCTTTGGGCGATCTGCTTTCCCATTTTCGGCTCTATCCCTTATTTCGAAACACACCCTTAATTCCCTACAGAATACAGAAGTTCACTTTATGACATTGGCTGCTGACTAGGGAGGTCTGGAACCACCCCGCACTGGACCCTCTGCACAGCTACCTCTTCAGCCTTATACCACCTAATCTCCACCTTCGCAAGTGACTGTCAGCTGGTCACGGTCACTGCTGACCTTCAGTTGTGCTCTTATCATCTGTTTAATTTCCGTGAATCGGTAGTGGTATTCCTTCTTTCAGTTCTGATTTTAGTTATTTCACTCTTCTCTCTTCTCTTTTCTTTTTTTCAAGACAGAGTCTTAAGCTGTCACCCTGGGTAGAGTTCTGTGGCGTCACAGCTCACAGCAACCTCAAACTCTTGGGCTTAAGCAATTCTCTTGCCTCAGCCTCCCAAGTAGCTGGGAATATAGGCATCCACCACAACACCCGGCTATTTTTTAAGTTATAGTTGTCGTTGTTTGGCAGGCCCAGGCTGGATTCCAACCTGCCCCTCTGGTGTACGTGGCTGGCACCGGGCACCGGGCCACACTTTTCCCTCTATTCTTAGTCTACCTAATGGTTTGTCAGTTTTGGACTTTTTGAAGAAGCAACTCTTGATTGTGTTGATTTTTCTCAGAGGTTTGACTTTTATCTGTAATCGTTCTTACCCTAAGCAAATTGGTATTTTAGATTAGTGTTGGGCTTCTGTATTTTGTTTTTGTAGTTAAGCAATACAGAAGACTCTATTGCCTGGGATATATAGATGTACAGGATGGCCATAAAGTTTGTGTGCAATTGGAAATTTAAAATTGCACACAACATTGATGGCCACCCTGTAGAAAGGGTTTCAATAACCAGAGCTTTAAAATAATGAAATTGAATGTGTCTGCTGCTTTTTTTCCCCTTTGTCACACTGCCCATTGCAACTTGTTCTTTTTTCTTCTCTTTCTCTTTTTCTCTTTTGGAGACAGAGTCTGACTCTGATGCCTGGGCCAGTATAGTGGTGTCAGCCTAGCTCACAGCAGCCTCAAACTCCTGGGCTCAAGTGATCCTCCTGCCTCAGCCTCCTGAGTAGCTGGGACTACAGGTGCCCACCACCATGCCCGTCTTACTTTTTAACTTTTTGTAGAGATGAATTTTTCTGTGTTGCTTGGGCTGGTCTTGAACTCGCAGCCTCAAGCAGTCCTCTTGTGTTGGTTTCCCAGAGTGCTGGGATCACATGTGTGAGTCACAAAGCCCGGCCTTGTCTCATAATTTGTTATATTATTGTGGTTACTCTCTTATAAACAGTTAATTAGTGTCCTGTGATTTGATTCTTTTCTTGAAAGTTTCTTATATTTTCTTCATGCTGAACTGGTCTAAGTTCAGGTGAGATTAATTCATTGTCATTATATTAAATGGAAAGCTAATAATATTAATAAAAAGGGGTGATTTAGGGAAGTTTGGAGGACTAGAGGATTGAAAATTCCAAATTTCAATTTGATGAACTTGCCTCTCTCTACTCAACCTCCCCTAGGTAGAAAAGCTGACAGTACCATGATTTAGGGAATTGTCCTGTCTGTGATTATGAGCCATAGGCAGTTTCAGTATTAAAACAATTCAAGGAAATGCCATTCAAAGCAATTCATATCATGACTTCTTTTATACAGAAGCTGAGAATCTTGTTCAAGCCTCTTGGTATAGTTTAATTTCTCCCTTGTTCCTTTACTTCTTTCTCATTCTCCTTTCCCCCTTGTAAATCAGGAATTTTCTAGCTACATATTTTTAAAAAAATATTTAATTAACAAAGATTACATCCTATATTCAAAGTGTACATCATGATGATTTGACAGACATATCAAATGCTGATTAAACATATAGATCACTTCACCAATTTGTATGTCATTCTTGTGCAGGGGCCATGCTAATCTTCTATAAAGTTCGTCTGCAATTTTAAATTATTGCCAAAGTAAGCGCTTTTAAGTTTTGTAGTTTTTTTTTTTAAATTCTACATGGTATACACCTGCATTCTGCATTCCCAACCTCCTTGTGTGTTTTATTGCCCTAATCCTTAATCAAAACTTCTTTTTGTAAATCAAATCATTTATTTAAGAGACTTCTGCCAGTTTTTCCATAATTTGTTGTTATCTAATCAGTACTAAAGATTAATTTTATTTCACCAAAAAAATTTCTTACATTACTGTTTTAGAATATGTATTCCATTTTATTGATTCTAAGACACGCATCTTTTCACATTTTAACATCTTTGAAATTTGATGTCTCTTGTAATTGCTAACATTTTACAACTATTACTGGCAGCACTTGTGTTTTTATTTTTAATACATAAAATATTAGTGCATCTTTCAGTTAACAGCAATTAGATCTGATGAAACGAGTTCTATTAATGACCATTGTAATAATTAATAGGATCCATAAATGACCATTAACATATTTACAAAAAGTTTAGAGTGGAAAAAAGTTACTTATAGGCTCTAAACCTTTATACTTAAGTATTTTTATATATATTCCATTCAAGTCTTTTTTTTTCTATTGCCCGAGTACTTATTTTTGGTTCTAGTTATAGCCTATATCCTATTTTGCTTCTCTTAATTTTATTACTGTTATATCTTAATTCCCTTCTGCTGTAGGCATTTGTATTGGTCATTTTCAAAAACTACCCAATCTGGCCAGGCATGGTGGCTCATGCCTATAATCCTAGGATTCAGGGAGGCCGAGGTGGGTGAATTACTGGAGCTCACAAATTCGAGACCAGCCTCAGCAAAAGTGAGACCCCATCTCTACTAAAAATAGAAAAACTGAGGCAAAAGTATCACCCAAGAGTTGGAGGTTGCTGTTGGCAACAGCTTGAGACTCTGTCTCAAAACAAAACAAAAAAAAACAGGCTCAGAGGCTAGGGTGCCAGCCACATATACCAGAGCTGGGGGCTCAGACCCAGCCCGAGCCTGCCAAACAACAATGACAACTACAACTACAACAATGAAAACAAAAGTAGCTGGGCATTGTGGCGGGCACCTGTAGTCCCAGCTACTTGGGAGGCTCAGGCAAGAGAATTGCTTAAGCCCAAGAGTTTGATGTTGTTGTGAACTGTGATGGCACAGTACTCTACTGGGGGTGATATAGTGAGACTCTTGTCTCTTAAAAAAAAAAACAACAAAAAACCACACATATACACAGACTTCACAATCTGTCTGGTGTATGATCATAACAAAACTGCCTACTGTCCAACATTGAAAATTTAGATTGTTGCCATTTTTCCTATGCCTATGTTGCCATAGGAATGCTTCAGTGAACAACTCCTTTGTGTTTTTTTTGGTTATTAATTTTGACCATTTTTTAATGAAATCTAACTTTGTAGAAGACCCCTGAACTCTCTTTTCTTGTGAAGAATCACCCTTCATATTTAAATAAACCACTAACTAAATAGCTGTTGTAACACTGTTCATTCATTCATTTGTTTATTTACTGATCTGTCTGTCCACCAAGAATACATTGTATTATTATGTGTTTGGTAGTTTCCAACAGCTAAGGAATTGCAATTAAAGAGGATACCTGTCTGACTTTGATAATCTCATTGTCGAGTGGAATACCAGGACTTATCAAAAATTATATACTGCAGTGTGATGAGGGATGCTGGAAAGAGATGGGTAAAACCCCTTAGTTATATGACATTGACTCTGGCAGCCTTGTAGATCGCTGTCTTTTAAAATGCAAGGTGAGCATACCATGTCACATGTAATAAAATAAAATAAGTTTTGCCTGACAGAACGTGGCTCCACCTGACCCGTCTAACCTCCTTTTTCTTCTAGTCTACACCTGTGTCCTGCGAGGTCTGTGATCCAGATTCCACGTGTTGTTTCTTTAAAATACTGAGCTCCTCGTGTCCGTTAACTGTGTCACACACCTCCTTCCTCTTCTCTGCCTGCTACAGACTGTGTTCATAATAGGTGCAGAGTATTGGCATTTGCTTCATTTGACTGACTTTCTAGGATACTTCCTTTTCAAATGAATGACAGTACTTTGCTATTTTATGATTTCTTTAGAACTTCACAGTCAATTTACATTCTGTGATTTTGGTGACATCAATGCCATTTTAATTCTATCTCGTCATATTTACTGAGTTAGAAAAATTTCACGTTGAGAAGGTATTTGAGAGATTATAGACGCCAATAAAGATTTTTGTAGTAACAGTTTAAAATTCTGCTACTTGTGATGGGTAGAAACAGAACCTTCACTAGATAAAATAAAGCCCCTCTCTATAAATTTTTGGAGGGTCTAGAAAGCCTTTGTAGTGGGGAAGAAAACAAAAAATATTTCTGTATCACTAAGTATCAACAATTCAGGCATTAGATACCATCAGTCTGCTTTGTAAATAGCTGCTTATTATGGTTCTATCATTGCAAGGTCATTGGCTACCTGTGAATTTGCCTGCTTTATACTTGCACATTAAAAAACTGACTTCGATTTATAAGCTTGTCAGAAATTGGAAACCGCTTTTGGGAATGACTTTTTGAGGTTTTTTGGGGTTTTTTTCCTATTTCTTTTTCATTTCTGAAACCTAAAGAGAGAATTGTGCCATGTTCTTTACAGACCTGCGGTGATTAGACCACATATTTTGATAGACACACAAAACTCCTGTGCAGAATCCCTGTCCTGAGATCCCCAAACAAGGGGGTAATTTGAGGTTGACTAAGACAGATTTGAAAGACACTATGTGAGCATCGTTAATTCCTTGGATGACTGTGGATGAAATGAAACTCTTGTTTTAGCAGCCGGTAGATATTTTGAGGGACTCGACTGTGTAAAAGAATACGTGGTAAAGATGATTTGGCAGTCGGTGGAATTTGAAGGAGCATTTACATCACCAAGTAAAATAAAATTAATTTTTTTTCCCCCAATGTGATTTATGGTCTTGAGTTTGGTGACTGAGGGATTGATCTCTTGGCAAGCGTCTATGACATAAACACCGCAGGAAGAGAAATTATATGCGTGCATCAAGCTTTGCAATTTATCTTCTAAGCTCTCTTTTATGGGGTGTGTGTACTCTTGTTGTGTTCAGCTAACAAAAGGTAACTGTTCTTTGTCATGAAAGGCTTTCTCAGTTTCCAGAGACCAGGGGGCCCCACAGAGAGAGACCGGCTTTCTCATTTGTGTTCATGCTGTTACTTCATTTGACTATTTTATGAAGCCTTTCTGGTCCCCGTCAACAGTTCCTTCTCATCTATCTTAACTTTTAGCTTCGTCTGCAAAATTTGTGCGGTTAGCCCGAGACATAGGCAGATAAATTGCCTGGGTTCAGCTTCCTGAGACTTGGGAGTAAATACGTTGCAGCACACTGATTTGATGGATGGATGCAGCTTTTCGGCAATATTGATGTTTTTACACTTCAGTATAAATCTTTGGACGCCTTGGTTTGCATTTCTGTAGTCATGGGTTGTTCTCTGTCACTGATTTTCAAACTGCCTCATCGCTTAGAAAGCTGAGCTTAAGTGGAAAGACACAATTTTTCTTCTGCACCCACTGTTCCTCTGCCCACTCATAGCACTAAGGATTGTGGGCGCGAGTCTCTGGCCAGATGTGAATAGTGGCAGCTCCCAGTTCACAAATGGTTATATTCCCAAAGTAAAGTCCATTGTATAGTCAGTTTGTGGTTTAAAACTTGGAATGTGTTGGTTAATGGTAGAAAGCAGTAGAGTCTAAGAATTTCTGTAACCCGTAATAGAAACATAGTTTTATTTGGACTTTAAAACATAAACGTGTCATCCTTGAGTAGACAGCCCCGTCTGTACCCGTGTATCCTGGGCAATGGACCCATCGGTTTTTTTTTTTTTTTGAGACAGAGCCTCAAGCTGTCCCCCTGGGTAGAGTGCTGTGGCATCACAGCTCACAGCAACCTCCAACTCCTGGGCTC